ACAATTCGGACAGGAGTGCCAAATAGAGAAATTATATTGCAATTTAAAGGATAAAATGGAATGAATGGATTTATGATTTTAAAATTTGCTTTTTTGAGTTTTGAAAGAATTCAAGGTCACCAATGATTTTTGTTTGTTGATAGTCAATTAGAATGCAAATTGATTCTATGAGACTGTGAGTAGAATAGAATTTTAGAAATTTTTAAAATTTTATTTCTCATGATATTTATTTATTATCAAATGTTATTTTTCAATATTGTTGCAAATCTCAAATACTAATAGTTAAAAAAAATTATTTAAAAATCTTGTAGAGTCATTTTAAAACATTTTGAACGTGGGATATCCAAGATCATAGAATATTTTTTTTTGTAATGATTTATTTTTGTTATAGAATAATATGTGTTAGAAGTATTTAGTATGGATTTTTTACAACCATATATGGAGATCTATGTCTAATTTTCCTCTTCAATTTATTGCGAGTATCCTTTAAAACGGTGTATATAAGGTCCATTTAGATTTTCACCAAGCTAGACGTTATTTCGAGATAGCAATTCCGAAGTCAAGAGTGTGTATAATCAGCATGCTGGGTTATAAAAATAATTTTAACTGCCGAGACTAATTGAATAATAAAACCAGACTGTGATATATTGCATAATCACATTTTTAAAGCCGAAAAGATGTTGCTTAATGTAGGAGAACTATATTGAAATCCTCCAGCAGTTACATTTATTTATTGCTGCGCCTCTCGGATAAATTAATGCAATTATGTTTTTTTTTGTATTCTTAATTACTAGAGAATTATTTTGCATTATTAAAAAATGTATGTGAATGGTTAGGAATGCGTAATTCTTACGTTAAAAGATTGATAAATTTGAAGTGAAATAAGATATATAAAAATTTACAATTAGTCGATAATAATAACTCAAACTAAAATTTTATGATAGTACAAGTTTTTTGCAGGACAGTAGCTATGACAATATTATGCAGGACGGTTTACATGTCCAATCGAGACAAAAAATTTTTAATATCGTTTAAAATCCTTTAAAAAAAAAGTCTGTTACTAGTTACCCTGTCACAAATTACTTCTAGTTGTCTTTTATATTGATACTTCTCCTAAACGATTATTCGAATTTTGATAATTCTTTTTAGAGTTTGTCAAAGGAAATTTTTAATATTTAATGAACGATAAAACTATAGTAATATTGTAGAAATAAATGGTAAAAATTACAAAAAAACCATTTATCATTGTTTGACATTGAAAACATTTGAACTGCCATCTGCTGTCAATGTCAATTCACTTGAAATTTGTTTTTATCTGAAATTATGAGCCTAGATAATATTACAATATAATATACAAGAAAAATGTAATGTCCATATTATTATTGCCGAAAAGCAGCTGAGATGCGCCAAAAATTAAAATAATATAAGATACGGCCAAAAGTATATGTTGGCAGATGAAATTATATAATTCAGTTTAATAAATAACGCAATAAGTCCACAATTCCATATACATGATTTATTTTAAACTTATGCATGTCGCATTTTGGCTTACTTTACTAAATTAATTAATAATACAAAAAAATATTTCTACTTATGGAAAAATGATTTAGAATTTTGTTTTATATTTGTTTGGCATTGGATATGGATTATTTAGCAAGTTGATCTTAGATAAGTGTGATCTCATTCACATAAGATTTGAACATAAATAATAATGTTTATTAAATTATTAATAAGAAAATTGTACTTTAGAAATTAAAATTGCCAAAAAGCAACTAATATATCGTACGAGATTATGAAATTTATAGACTAAATTATTGAAGCAATTATGTTGTATGGTCAAATCATATTGTTCTACTATATTATTTTTTTCTGAATTTCTTATACTGCCATAATGATAAATGAATCACAAAGACAAATAGGATATTAAAAATTATAGGATAGGATATTAACAAATTTGGAACTTTTGAATTGTAAATGTGGGGGGGGGGTACAGGACAACGTCTATCGGGTCATCTAGTATTCATATATGATCTCGATTTTTCTACATAGCCAAAAAAGAGTCAGTTATATAACAGTCATGAGCAGAATACATAGATTGGAAAATAAGTATGAATTAATATTTTATTACCTTTAGTATACTTCCCTAGATTCATATACAAAATGTTACCACGTAAAATAAACATGTGAATTTAAGATTGACCACTATCTAGTGTAAATTTATGTAATTTCCGAAAGGAAACTCGAGGACAAAATTTCCCAACCATTCGTATTCCGTAAGCATTTAGCACCTGGATTTATATGTCTCATGTGATTTTTCGGGTTCGGTCGGTACATTGGAGAGAAAAATATCACTATTTATAAGCAAGTGCGTGCTGTGGAACTATTCATTATTCAGTTATTCACAGGATACGAGGTGCACAGGACGCCATCGGCATATAGATATCAGTTCGGTCCAGTATATGTAAAGGAAATACCCTAATATCGGACATATGGGCCGATGGAGAGCAGATCAAAGATTTGCTTAGGGGAAATTTTAATATGTTACAATGTAAATAAAGTACATACTTCTCAGTTTCACTCTTCTTATTTTTAGTTTTTTTTTAATTATATATATAGGTACATTAGAGTGGTCCTTAATATGGTGATTTTCAAATTTCCTTGCTCCCAGGGACTTAAATGGTTCCAAATAGATAAAAAACAATTCTCTGAAAGTTTTAGCTCTTAATATTAACGTATAGATAAAGCGTAATTCAATCAAAGTTTTGTATGGAAATAGCATGGAAATTTTTCAAAAATTTTAAAAATGTTTTTTAGATGTAATTTAGCGAACAAATGAATAAATAAAACTTATTCATTCGTCGCTAAGTTACACCTAAAACATTTTTTTTTAAATTTTCAAAAAATTTTCCATACTCTTTTCATACGAAGTTTGATAGCGCTCTATCTAAACGTTAATATTAAGAGCTAAAACTTTCAGAGAATTGTTTTTTATCAATTTGGAACCATTTGAGCCCCTGGGAGCAAGGAAATTCGAAAATGACCATTTTAAGGACCACCCTAAGTGTCATACATGTTATACTATTTTTCAAATGATAGGGCTTAAACAATGAAAATATTTGTATGGAAATATTTGTAGTATTGAGCACACTTAGAAACTATCCCTTTGCATTTAATTTTTGACCATCTTGTCAATTTGTTTTATGAAATGGCATATACGTGGTCTGTTCAAAAAGTACCCGGAATTTTCGTTTTTTCAAAAAAATATTTATTTATTCGTCTACATTAATGTGGTCCCCTTCAAAGTAGTCCCCCCCAGATATAATACACTTATGCCAGCGTTTTTTCCAATTTTCGAAGCACCCTTGATATTCACTTTTTGATATGTCCTTGAGCACTCTCAGCGATTTTCTTCAATCGAGGAAAACCGCCGTCCTTTCATGGGTCTCTTCAACTTTGGGAATAGGAAAAAGTCACACGGAGCCATATCTGGTGAATTTTTGCACTTTGCAACACTTTATTTCATTTTTTACGCAAAATTTAATACAAATTCTTTGACTTTTCAATTCTTCCATTGTAAAAATCGCCGAGCTCAGAAAAACACGTCGAACCTTAGCGACTACCACAGACAAAGTAAACAGTGAATATAGCTGAAAACTTCATCATACTTTAGGGGCATGTATACCAACACAATAAAAAAAAAATTTTGACAATCAGACACTCCAGACCCGCGAAATTTAATTATTAGTAATTCCGGGTACTTTTTGAACAGACCACGTAGATCTTACCTCCATAAATATACTAATAAGAAGAACTTTAGGTTTACTTTTCCGCGATTTTGATGAAACTTCGCATGGTGATAAAGTTGATAATGAACTGAACACGTTAAAATATTAGAGGCCTATGAGAAGTGGTTTAATTATAAAAATTAATTAAAGTCTTGAAAAATAGATCGCGCGCATTACGTACGCCTAGTGTAACAGTAACAATTTCTAACCTCAACTTTTTGGAATTTCTTGAAATAAATATTTAAACAAAAATTATAGACGGTTGTTATTTGAACTTCATGTTGTAATCTATTTTGTAAAAAACTTTTATAGCACTTTTTTTAAATATATAAAAATTCTATTCATGATTCAGTTTTTTTCATTTAAGTGTTACTCTATATGTACTATAATAAAAAATATTCCCCGCATGTAAAAATAACAAAACGTGACTCAATTAATAAATAATTCAGGCTTTTGGTATTTTAATAATCGTACACCGTGCTATATTGTTTAATTATTTTTTGCTACTTTATCAATTGCCGATATAAATTGCTCTATATAAATTGATATGAAAAAATTAAATATTTGTAGACAGTTATTACTTTATACGTTTTGAAACTAGATGTCATTATGTAGCAGGAGAAACACTTAAAAAAATCATGAAAACAAAAAAATATAGTGAATTTTTAACTGCTAGAGGGATTAGTTTGATTTTGTTGAAAAATACATTGTTCGCCAATAATCCTGAACCGATTTTGAAAATTTCAAGACCGAAAAATATCAGTTGGGTATTTTTTCTGATCATTTTCTTGAAACTTTGCTTGATAAGGGACCTAGTCCTGAATGGACATTCTAAAATATTATAGACATTCAAATATAAAAATTCGTCATAGTTAAGTATATTGCATAGTTAATATTCTAACGTCGCAATTTTAAATGTTAAATCTAAATTTCAGTTTCATTGATTAAATCGATTAAATTGATCGACTTACACATGTTGCAATTTGCCCTAATACAAAATGCCACTTACACCTAATTGTTCTTAAAAATGTTAAACTACGTAGTATAAACAATTATATAACCCATGTATTTATCGCATTTTAAACTCACATATTTGGTATAGTGGTAATTCGTTTATTACCAGAGTATAAAAAGTATATTTTACATTTTTATAACACTTGTCTAATTATTAGAATATACATTATCTAGTGATAATGTGGGACATCTAGTAAATTATCAAATCAATTTGATAGTAGGATCTTGAGGTTTAAAATGAATTCCTATTATAACCAGCAATATCATATCAATTATCAGTAACCCAGAAAATAGAAAAAATTCGTGGTCCTGATCGAAAGTGGCGCAAAAAGTGACTATGACCACTATAGCGTCGCCGATTCCTTCGCAGAATTCCGCTGTGGCGCACACAACCGATTTGAGTGTGGCAGGCGCTTGGGTGTACTTGAAATCCTGCCAGGCGATCATGAAGTAAATCTCCCCGATGCTGTAAATGATAGCCTGAGGCAGTAGCCATAATATGTGTACGGAGTTGGGTTCACGAATCTCGTAGAACGTGGCCGAGTCTCCGTAAAGTATCGCAGCATATGCACCGCCTAAATGCATATCGAATTGGGTCAGTATCCTGCCACCCTTTCGCACTAGAGAGTATTCGTCGGGGGTGACTTCCACTACCCTCGGACGGCTGTTTGCGGTGTATATGTCGCCTGTATGCATCGATCTCGTAAGCACTTTGATCTTTACAGCGTTTGAATCCTTAACTAATATCTGATCGCCCGGTTCGGCACCTAACACAGTTAGATGTGGAAGACCCGATTCAGATTTATCGAGTTCTATGAATGCTGATACCTCGACCTCGCCTTTGACTTCGTCAGTGTTTATGAAAACTGATACTGATGCTTGTTCTTCAATAAATACTGTTTTGTTCTTGAACGTAGCGCAAGGGCTATTACTTGACAAGTTAAATGATTTATGTCCATGCATTGGTATGTGCTTTGCTGTGTATATACTTAACGGACTCATTACAATTCCGCGAGGAAAAATATCTGATGCATACATTACATAACTGCAATTCAAACCATTATAAAATCTCATCTCAGCTTGGTTAGCAGGCGGTTGAACGGAGTCGGGATTTTTTATTTTGATCCGCGATTCAATTATTCCGGATATTGCAAAGGCAATTGCCAATGACGTACCTCCAAATATCATCCTTCGCAACGACCTGTCCATTCCAAATCTTAAAATGTACGGATCTATAAAGTTCATAGTAACTGGCAGTAAAACCAGGACAAGTGTAGGGTTTAAAAGAAGAAAATGATCAGGAATAATTGTATACGATCCAATACGACCGTCCATTCTAGCAGCTTGAAATAACCATTTAGTATTTACTTGATTGTACATAGAATAAAACGTCGGTATCGTCACCATTATCAACAGAATGCGTAAGTAAGTTTTAATATCACTTACCATTTGTTCTCCAAAATCAGCTTTGGAATAATCCAGCCAATGTTCTTTGGGATTGGTTTTACGTTCTTTTGACCACATTTTTAAAGCATGTCTTACACATTTTACCATTCCAGAAGACATGTTAGTAGTTGGTTTTTTTATTGTATAAAATTTATAGCCTGCTACTAGTAATGATATTTCTAACATATAGCTTGCTATTGATACTCCAAATGGTATGGGGTAACACTCTTGGTCACCCATGCATGGTACTTCTGATTTTAACAAAGGTAGGAGAAAATATGCCAGTAGGACGCTGCTGCTTCTAAATATGTAGTCTATGCGGTAATAATGGACTAGAATATCATGTTGTTCAGGTAATTCGAACTGATCTCCTTCAAAAGCTGGAAATGTCCCTGCCATTATGATCATGCCGCAGGAGTGTAGGGCCCAAAAAGCGTATGTGAATTGTCTGGCATAATTTTTCATAGGTGGAAATGAACCTATAAACAACAATGACCTTGCTGTTGTTTGCCACACATCACCAAATACTAAAATTATGAATCTATTTGCAAAACTGCTCGAAATCAGTGCTCCGATTGGGAAGAATACGGATATTATAGTTTTAGTTCCGTGGATTATTGCGACTGTAGTATCTGTGCCAAATCCAAGTTTGTTTCTTATGTAAAGCGAGTATATTGATTGGGCGCTGAACATCCCTAAGGTTACAGGAAACGTTTGAGCTAGCAGAAAGTATGTCCCTTTAGGCAAACTTTTTATTGAAACTTTCTTTGGTTGCTCGGGTTCGGAAATTGCTTCTGACATTGTAAATATTTATATTTAATATAGTTGAAACTAAATTTAGTAATATAATATTTGACATTTCACGACTGTCATTTGATATGCCAAAATTTATATTGGACAAAATTTTTAGATGTCACAATTTATCCAAAGTACAGTGATACAGGATGTATTAATTAGGTAAAACTACGAATTTCCATTTTCTGAATGATCTGGTCTTTAGAATGTTAAGTGCACGTAACCAATTAGTAAATTTGATTACATTTGGAATAGTGAATGATTAGGAATTCGCCTAATTGTTCTGGCTAGTATACTTGTGCTCCAGGGACGAGTATTAATTAATCGGACACAGTCTTGGCAGTTGTGTTTTGCTCAGATGCTAACCTTAGAACATAATAAAGCATAATGGTTTGATAATGGTTAGTTTACATGCATACTAGACATTCAATTGTTGGATAAATGATATTTGGTTAATTAAATTGAGGGCATATTTAATAACTATTTCTTTTTGGTTGACCAGCACCCATCTTCGTTTTTCAGTACTAAAAATAATACAGTTGATCTTTCACCATAAATTTTTCATTAAAATTTCATAATTTTAGTCTGACTATAATGTAGTATAATTATTATGTTTTTAATAAATAGATTAAATTAAATTAATAATATATTTTTAGTAAAATTCCATCAAAATTCATTCAACAATTTCATTATATGTGTAGAACAATTCGTTCAAGTGATGCACATAACGCACAATTAATTTGTTTCAAACAAGCAGAGAACATTTCGCACAACAGCAGTATAATATAATTTACCGAAAATTAATTTATGGTCGTAGATAATAAACGTTAACGTTAATTAGTGTGTGATGATTTTACATTTAACAAAACGTAAACATTATTCCGCAATGGCATGTAAACTCCAACTGCAATGAGTAATGAAGTGAACTATGTGTGTAATAATATTTGTGTGGGTTTGTTTTATAGGGGACAACGGTGCTAAAATATTTGTTTTATTAGAAAATTAGAAAATTTAATATAATTTGGAAATGTTCTGTAATTACAAATGAGTACTTTCAGAGTACATGCTTTTAAAAAAGTATGATTTGAAAAAAAAGTCTCATAAAGCCAAAAAGCGAATTTTCATATCAACATTTAAAAAAAGTTGATATTTTGTGTTTCTAACCACATTTGCGAGCCGTTTAATAATGTTTTTTGAAGTAAAACTTCTTTAGATACAACTAGAGTGTAAATCTGTGAAAATGCAACGGAAGAACGTTACGCTCGAATCGAGTGCCAATGATTCGTCTTTCGCTCTCTATGAGATCATTTCTATACGTGTCGATTGTGATTGGTCGTCGTGTCGCGAGTATGTTTGCTTTGATTGTATGCGTATACGTAGTATGTCATAATGAAACAAATGAAAAATCTGTGCCGTGTAAGAAACGTAAGTTTACTGAAATAATTTGTATTATTCGTATATACTATATATTATTAGAAATTATTTTTATAGACAAGGCACATACTACATCTGCTCAAAGAATGAGACTGTATAGCTAGCGAAATAGTCAAAAAAAATTAACAGCCAATGAATGTATGTTAATACTAATTACATGGTAAGTGGAACAACTGTTCTCGTTCAAATGTCAAATCTTACAATTAAATAAAGCTACTTACTACAATTTAATAATATTTATCTAAAACATCGTATTATATTTAATTGAACATAATCTGTCAAAACCTTTTGACATTTGACGTATGAGCCGCCATACATGGTTTTATTTGAAATTACGATTTCACAAAAAAATTTAAATTAAAAATGTAAAGTTTTGAAATAATTTACCAGTTTTCCCTCAATCTCTGGATTAGCACAAATATTTTAAGACTAAAAGTGGCCCAATCGGGCTAGCCGTTTTGGAGTTTAAGCATGCCTAACACAATATTGAGTTTCATTTTGATTTATAAGAATAATCTTAGTAGAAAAGTATGAAAACTGTTTCAAAAATCGAAACCTTTTCCGAATTTATAAATACATATATTCTGTACCCCAACACCGATTCACTCTATAAATCCAGTGTCATTCGTCTATATATTAGTTTCCAGTCAGGGACAAATTCTCCAAAGCCCTGATTCGAATAAACTAGTTGTGAGCTAGTGCGTTTTCGGGGTGGATAGCTCGATTCCCTGTCTAATGGGGGATGTGGAGCACAGTGGAGGGTGTCAAATATCGATGACAGTGCTTCGGATGGGGCTCGTAATTGATAACGCGCCAGATAGCTCATTGCGTAATGAAACATAGACGCAATAATTAACTACTATGGATGGACTATTATGGAATTCCTCATTTCCGGAATTTACTCTTTGATTAAATCTCTTGATGATGCTCTGATTGTCTCAGCATTTATAAATGGTCAATTGAATTTGATAAATTTCGTTGAAAGTCTAAGAACTTTAAAATTCAGAATTAAGTAACTTAGATTTCACACTATAGAAATATTGAATTAATAGTGACAATTTGTGATTTTCTCATATCCATATTATCAACTGTGAAAAGCTTGAAGAAAGTTTTTTTGTAATTTTTGTCTTTTATTTCTACAACATTAGCATAGTTTTATCGTTTATTAAATCTTGAAAATTTCCTTTGACAAACTGTAAAAAGAATTATCAAAATACGAATAACCGTTTAGGAAAAGTATCAAATCATACATCCGTACAGAATTCTATATATAAGATATGTCTGAGGAAAATTTTCCTAATAAATGTAGTTGAAATTTCGATGTGTTTTTGAAATAATTTATTGTGAGATTTGATGTTGTCCGTATCCTATTTCCAAGTTTTGCAGAGGATTAGCGGTAGGTATGTTAAACTCTGTGATATATTAAAATAGTTTCATCAAGTGCAGATATAAATTCACCAGCAATCACTTCTATTGAAATATTTGCGTTCGTACACAAACGCAGTTAAATCTAGGTAGGTCACTGAGTACCCTCTGTAAAGAGATTCAACTATTTTGCAATCAAACTAATTGCGTTTCGTTTATTCAAAGCGATTGCGTTTTCAATCCTTCTTGCTATGCCGTCAATTTCCAATCGAATAAGTTTTTAATTGAAGGGAATTACTCGGCGCATTCACTTCAGAAAACCTTAAAATTATTACCCTTCCAGTAAATACAGCAGAAGCGGCGGTTTCGCGGGCTGCTTTTCATTCTAATGAATCTAATGGTTTTGTAATTGCAATTATCTCTTTCATTAGAAGTTGCCCTGAATTATCTTATTCCGTGCGGACTTGGTAATTGCGAATTCCAATACAATACCCGCGTTTGCGGATCCACAGACCCCATAACTTAATTACAACTACAAGTGATAAAGGAAATTCTAAGGAAAAATAGCTTATAGAATATTTTAGCCATTTATAGAAATGAAAGTTTTTCGAAAATATACCTTGAGAAAATAAGTTTTACTAAATCTAATAGTCGTGCAGGAAATACATAAAACTTCAGATAAAATTAGATATCTACATACCCGAATGTCCACCCACTTGGCATGTGATTTAGACACTTTTCTTGTCTCACTATCAAAAATCTGCTGATGTTCCATATGAAATATGTGCAGATATTAAAAATATAGATATATTAAAAATATTTTTTTTATTCTATAATTGTTTTAGCATTTATATTTATTGCCTGAGAACCAAATAGTTAACAAATTGGATATTCTCATATTATTAAAATGGCGAACACCTAAAATGGGCAATGTCGTCAAACATTGTCACCGGAATTGTGGAATTGAATATAAACAAGGGTGGTCTTTAATAGGGATGTTTTTGAATTTACTTGCTCCCAGGGGCTCAAATGCTTCCGAATTGCTAAAAAAAAATCTCTGAAAGTTTTAGCTGTTAATATTAACCTTAAGATAGTTCGCACTCCAACCAAAGTTTTTATGTAAATAACATGGATAAAATTCCATTTTCTTCAGCGACAAGTGAATCAAAATTATGAGAATGTCATTGTATTTGCTTATTTTGATCATAAATAAAAATGACAAAAATTTGATATATCTTATAAAATTAGTATTTACTTAATAAGAAGAACCAAGATACTTTGGTTGGAGTGCGGACTATGTTAGAGTTAATAACTTTCAGAGATTTTTTTATCAATTTGAGAGAATTTGAGCACCTGGGAGCAAGAAATTTGAATAATCCATATCAAGGACCACCCTTGGAAGCAAGAACATAAAGATGCATAAATAATTTTTGGTTTCTATTAGGTATTTTTCAATCCCAAAGACGATTAATTAATTCTTCAAGTTTCTCTCAATTTCTACTTCAATAAATTTTCGTTTAGAATATTGAACGGATAACATTGTAAATTTTACATTTTCTATAAACCCTCTACTTTTATGCATTTCTATCAACGCGAGTTGCGGTTGCAATCGGAAACGTGTTTATTAAAAATGTGTTCGTTCGATGCAGTGGTGTGATTTTTCTTTTTGCAGCTAAAATCAAATGACTCGAAAAACCATTCCTGTTTGCGTTTAATACTGAAATAGTCAAACCTTGGGTATAGAAAGATAATAAAATCATAATTGTAAGTGCAATGTGTATAATGCATTGTATTAGTAATATCATAAAATGCACTTTTTTATATGGACATCTGTGAAATTTTAATTTCTGATAATTATACATATATCTTGAAGAGTAACTTTCCGAGAACTATTTCTACTAATCCCGAATATTGCTACTATCTATAAACTAGAGCTCATACCTTTTTTATACTGCTTTGAATTTGCGCAACAAATCGTAGGGTGCTTGGGATGACATACTATTAGTCTGGCGTTTATAAATTTGTCGGATATGAAACAAACTCATAGCACATATGGTGCTAAAATGACTAAGAAGTAGGTCAATAAGAATTTACTGTCAATTAACACTAGATGATACAAGTTTTCAGTTAGAAATAATATGTAGAAAATTGTGTGGGTGCCTTTTGAGTGGTAGGTAATACCCGAGCAGATAACTGGCTTTGGTCCA